GCGGCGGCGCGGGGCGGCCGCGGAGCCGGGCTGCCTGCAGGCCTGGGCCGCCGAGAGCCAGGCCCTGGCCAGGCGCTGGCGGGTGAGCCGGATCCCCTCTCCCGTTCCCTGAGCCCCGGGGTTGGCCTTTCCGCCAGCGGTCTGCCTCCGGTGCCGGTTACCATGAAGAACGCCGCCGCCCGGGGCTAGGCCGCAGCCTGCCCCTCGGCCGCGGGGCGGGAGGCGGACGGGGGGCAGGGGGGTGCCGTGTCCCGGGCCGGTGCCGTCGTGTCTCCTTCAGTGTCCCCTTTGCAGGCGGCCCGGTGCTCGGGGCCGGGGCCCGGCGGAGCGGCGGAGCGGGAGGTGCGACAGCAGCGAGACGGCTTCGGGGAGCTGCTGCGGAGGATATGGGGTGAGTAGCGGCCCGGCTGGCTGGGGCTGGACTGCCCCGCGCCTTGCCTTCACTCTCCCTCCCGCTGCCGTCGTGGACCCAAGGCGTGTGGTCCTGGAAGCACCGGTCCTGGGGGAACTAGTGTTTACTGGGCTGCCGCTCCGGTATCCCGGTGCTGGAAACAAACTTCTGAAGGTTGGGGGCGGGGAATGTCCTCCCCTGCCCGAAGCTGAATTGGACCTGCGAAGGGATTAAGGCCCAGCCCCAACCTCTACCTAATTCTGCTGGGGCATGTGGGCAGAGTTTGGGGGTTTCTGGAAAAAAACGAGGCGACTTTCGTCCTGGGAAGCTGGGGAAGGGTCTCCCTGCCACAGCCCCGGTGCAAGAGGAAGACTGATGCGAGGCAGAGAGAGACAGCGTGGGAAACCTGTGCAAAAGGGTGGATGTGTATTGGAAGAGGGTAGGCTATTGATGCTCTTTTGGGAGAGCTGAAAGGTCTCAGTCCTGGAGGACTGCAGCAGCTGGATAGCTAGGCAGTGGATGTCTAAAGCAGTGTAGGCACCTGGACAGATGACACCTGCTGTCTCTCTAGGTACTGCAGTTCCCAAGCTGTTAAATCTCACCACAACAACAACAAAAAAATACTTGCTGGGACGCTTCTGTTGTCAAAAGCCAGGTGATGACACATTAGCGTGGATGGTTGTTGGGTTTTTCCTAGCCAGCTCAATTTCTTGTTGGGTTGGCTGTGGTCACAGGGCTGCCGGCTGCCCTCCCCACCCTGCCTCTGGAGCTTACCGTCCTCTACAACTCCCTGCTTTTTACTGTGGGAGCATCTGACTCTGTCATCGAAGGAGAAGCAGAAGGAATACGCCAGGGGCTCCTCAGGGGTAAGGAGATTTGTTCTCTGTACGGGGTTTCCTCGGGGCAAAGTGAGCGTTCTCTGTGCTTTGGAGATGTGTGGTGACTGGCCGGAGGCGGGAGGCCTGCGAGCAGGGAAGCCTAGCTCTGCTGGGAAGGGCAGGAGGTGGGGCAGCTTGCGGCCAGGGATGATGTGCAGCTGCCAGTCTGCCTGCTGCTGCCTGCAGGGATGGGCCAGAGGTTTTAAGGGAAATGAGAGTTTTCAAGGTATAAGGTGCCAAGTCTCTAGCAAAGTTTTAGTGACGGTAGAAAATGAGTGTTTTCTTTAATTAGGGTGTGCTGGCTTCAAAGAAAACTCACTGAAATAGGCTGTAGGTCAGAAGGGGATCTGCAGTGTTGGCACATGCTTGCCTGGGGGCAAATGACCTCAGGAGGACTCACAGAGCTGGAATTGTAGCTCTGAACCGTGTGTTGTCTCCTGAGTGTGCCACTGTTAACTCCACTGTCCGAGAGCTTGGTTTCCATGCCACTGAGGCTGGGCCAGCCCTGTAACCCCATTCCTTCCCTCACTACGAAGAGCCGGTGCTCACTTGAGGCTTCCTCTCCCTCTTGGGAGGGTGTCTGTTACAGGGTACCAACTGTTGTCTCATGGCTGGGTTTTCTTCCTTTGTTTTTTTCAGTTCTGGAGGCCTGTGGGGCCAGCGGGCAGGATCTTAGCACCGAGGAGCTGTGGCAGAAGGTGCTGCAGGAGGTAACTGCAGGAGAGCTGCAGGCACCTTTGCACCGACTGGGGGCCCTGCAAGCAGCATGGTGGCTGGCATCCAGCCGCCTGGGAAGCACCGCTGGCCTCTTCAGGCTCCTGAGCAATGCTGAGGTAACTGGATACAGGCAGATGCTATGCAGCTCCCAGTTACCTGCCTTGGAGTATCTGTGCAGATATAAATACCCATGGGTTTGCTAAAAGAAGTAGAGCTGGCATAAATGCCATGCTTGTCATAAACCCCGCTCCTCCAGATGCCACAGCAACAGTTTGCAACCTGAACCCATCAGCGCTGCCCAGTCAGTGTGAGTAATCCTCTCCCTGGTGTCCTAGTGTAGCCTAATGGCCCTGAGTGCGTTAACGAGTCCCAGAATGTCTCCTGCCTGTCGGGGCCCTGGCCCCCAAGGTGTGAGACAGGAGACTTGGGCAGGCTGGAAGGGGGCTGCAGGTGGACTTGCAGCCTCTGTAGGGAGCAAGCTGCAAGCAGTGGGATGCAGAGGAACCTTCCCTGCTGATTGTAAGGCTGCTGAGTGGTTCCACCTTTTCAAATGCTCTCCAACAGCGCTTGGATCTGCCTTGCCAGGAGCCCCTCGAGGTGCGCCTCACTCTGAGGTGGGGAGGTGCTGCCCTGGGCCAGGCAGGAATCACTGCAGAGAGGGAGTGGTAGGATATTGCTCCCCAGCACAGAGAGCACTGTCAAAGGGTTTGGTGGGACCTCTGTTTCCTTGTGCCCTGGGATCAGTCCCTCCTGCTTCCCTTCAGCATTCCCTGCTCTCTCTTCACAGGACCCAGGAAGAGCTTGCTACAGAGAGGGGGAGAATGAACTCCTCTCCATGCTCAAGGCATGGCAAGTACCTGCTGAGGAGGCCTCCCTGCCCCTTGTACAGAGCACTGAGGACTTGAAAGAGATCCTCTGCACAGCAGCAGCCTTCCTGCAAGGTTTGTGTGGAGGAGGTACTCATGCTAGCACAGCCTTCCACTGCACTCCTGTCCCAGGACCCCCTCTCCCTGCCATTATACTGGTTTCCGCTGCCAAGCAAAGCGGCCCTTGGGGTTTTCTGGGCTGTTCCTTTGGAAGAGGGCCTGGGCTGACGCTCTGGGTCTCAACTTTGCTGTTCGGTATCCAAAGAGCTTCTCTGCTTTTTCCCCAGCTAAGCCTTTCTCTGCACTGTCACAGGGTTCCTCTGCCTGTCTGTGGCTTTAGGTAGGTGTCTGGGCCCCGCAGTGATCTTGTATAAAGCAGGAGGCTGGCAGGGGGATTATGAGGATTTTCCTTTCTTCTGTCTGTCTTCTGGCACTTGCCTTGTTGCAAGTACATTGTTCCCATTGGATTACAGTGCTGTGGGAGCCACGCAAAGCCATTGTGCAGCTTTGTAGCCTGGTGTCACGGCAGGTGATTGATCTCATCTGACTGCTGTGTTCTGTCCTGCTCATGGTTTTTCCTTGCTCACTGTCTTGACAACCCCAGCAGCTCTGGGGGAAGCCAGCACTGCCTTGCTGAGCTCAGGCTGACGCAGGGCCCTCCTGCAGGGAGGGAGGGCGGGCAGGAGCTCCTGCCCACAGACCTGTCAAAAGCCTCTAGGGTGATGATAGCACTTCCAGCAGGGAGGTGACAGGTGTGAATGTGATGTAGGCATGTGAGAGCGGCCTCAGAGGAAGACTTGAAATGGGGATTGAAGGAAAACCGAATACCATTCACGACAAATATTAATGAATCAATATCCTAAAACATCCTGCTGGGAACTGGCCCAGATGTGCTGGAAAAAGTCTTTCTGAGATTCTGTTTGTGCTTCCCCATCTGCACCGCTGGTGCTGTGGATGAATGTGCAGGTGGACCTGCCCAGCACTTACCTCTGCCCTTGTCCTCGGCCAAGGCAGGCATCTTGGTATCTGGGCTTGGAAGCTGCTATTATTTCTGCTAGATGTTTCCATTGCGTGGCTTGTTCTCTTGCAACACCATCAGACCAAAGATGGCAGCTTGGCACCATGCTGCTGTGCATTGCTGGTTGTGGAGGAGATCTGGCAGGTCCCTGTGGCACTGGGAATAAAAGGGCACATGCACTTGTTTGGGGACCAGGTGGGGCAGGAAGGGGAACTGCAGAGCTGAGATGTTTGGTCTATCCTAGGGCTGCAGGAACTGGAGGCTGGGAACTTTGCTACTGCCCTCTCCCTCTTTCAGGAGGCTGCGGGAGGATTCTGCTCCAAGAGGGTCCTGGCCCAGATCTACACCTGCCTTGGCTGCTGTGCTCAGCAAATGGTAATGTTCAGGCCTCTCCCCTGTCAACGGGGAGAGGGGAAATGCAGCCTAGAGTGGAGTGGGGAGGCTGAGGCTGATGTCCACGCTGCCTCTGCGTGGTCCTAGGCTGCTACAGGAAGGTGAGGCCTTGGGGCCACAAGGGCAACTTCTGCTCATCTTCCTTGGACAGCTGCAAAATCCAGGCAGAGATTTTGGCTGAGCGCAAAGGGTTGCTGCAGAGACAGAAACTCAAAAACCAGCCAGAGGAGAGCTGCCTTTGGCTAAAGCACTGCCCTTGCTTAGTGGAGATTGCTGGGGAAGCAGAGCTGGGATCTGGATCCCACTGAGCAGTAAAGATGTCAGCAAGATGTCCTTGCAACATACACCTCTCCCCATCTAACTAGGGCAAGCGTCAGACAGCCCTTCAGCACCTGAAGCGGGCCCTCCAGGTAGACTTCCAGTGCCTTCCTGCCCTGTCCCATGCAGCAGCAGTGTACCGTGAGCTGGGGGAGACCAACGCGGAGCTGGAGGCTCTGGCTCTGCTCTACGAGGTTTGTCTGCTTCCTGTAGTTCTGGGTTGATTGTTGCCCAGCAGAGCCTGCACAGAGCTTCAGGCAGGCTCCTGCCTTCTGGGGGGCTGTTTGACCCTGGAGGAGTCCCCAAAGTAGACCACAGCCATCCAGCCACAGTGCTGCCTTCAGCAGTGGGCACGAAGGAGCCTAGTGAGATCTGAAATTCCTGCTCAGGACCTGGCAGTTGGATGTGGCAAGACCTTTGGGTCCCAGTTCATGTTCTTAGTGGCTTGGGAGAAGAGGTTACACTCCCATGTCAGAAAGTATCAGTCTCTTAATAAAGTATGCAATAGTGAAGAGGGCTTTAAAAGGCAGATTGTGGCTGTGAGGGGATGTGCATTAGTTGTAGCAACCTTGGTCTGCCTGGGAGGAGCAGGTCACAGCAGTAGATATGGAGTTAGCTCTTCAGCTGTTTGAAATCCAAAACACAACTGTGGAGAGGGATCTCTCGTTATGAATGGCCCAAGATCTGGTTTAACTAGGTCTGCAGCTGCAATGGGAGATGGTGTTCCAGGCAGCTCAGAGCACCTTGAACTAAAAACCTGAGGTGATCTGGGTGATCTTGCAAATCTCCTGATGCCGTGTGGAGATCAGAAGTCTGCCTGTCCCTGTGTGATCTGGGTTGCTCTTCCTGGAAGCAGCTATGCTGTAGCAAGAGAGAACAGTAGCTGTGCTTATGAAGTGCAGTGCTTCTGCTCATCTGGGTGCATCTCCAGATGCCAGAAGTGCCAAGTGATTGCAGCTGCTTGGGACTTAACCAGTGTTGTGTTGACCATGTTTTCTGTTCCTGTTTCACAGGCTCTGGGAAAAAACCTTCCGGCAGCTGCTTCCTCTAGTCCATATTTCCTAATCCGAACAGAGCTTCTTGTTGACACACCAATACTAGCTTCTCTCCTTCGTCATCGCCACCCCTCTGAAGTGAAGTACCTGCTGGCACAGCGGTGTCTCCAGTACGGGAGGTAACAGTGCCTCTGGTCTGCTTGTAACATGCTGCTTGTTTGGGCTCTGCAGTTTTCTCTGTGCTCCTGGAAATCGTCCAGTTCAGTACTGCTGTTGTAGGTCTACTCAAAGCATGGGCATCATGACCAGAGCCAGTGTGGTGCAGGTAGAGCCTGTGGGCTTGCAATCCAGGTTCCACCTGGCTGCTGGCACTTCTTGGTGTCCCTCTGCTCCTTACACCATGTCCTGCCCCTGTTGCAGGGTGGCTGATGCAGTAGAACATTACCTGGATTTTCTGGCTCTGTTTCAGGAGGGGCTGCAGCAGCAGGTAGGTGTCCTGGTGAAGAGTTCCCTTGGTGACTTGGCAGATGAGGTTTGGATCCCCATCTCAAGGCCTGGGCCCAAGTGTCACCCCTGGACTCCAGGTTTCAGTGTCTAGTTTGAGATGTGAAGGAAATAAGGTGGTGGCTGGCATTTCTGACCTGTGGCATGTCTGCCTCTGGATTCACACCAGAGACCACTTGCCACTGCTATTTGGAGAAACAGTTTCTGCTTCCCTGTGGGGAGCATCTGTCGGCCTGGTTTTGGATGTCCTTCACTTCAAGAGTAGGGATTTGCTACCTTGACTCTGCTGAGCTGTTAGTGCTGCACAGATTCTATCTCCTCCAACAGTCTCCAGTGTCTGTGGGAGTGGGTCTGATCTTTGCTGGGCAGCAGCTCCAGGTTCCCAGTAAGCACGGGGTCATTAGTGAGGTGGGTACTGGTCTCTTCTATCAAGTAACTAGTGATAGGACGAGAGGAAATGGCCTCAGGTTGTGCCAGGGGAGGTTTAGATTGGATATTAGGAAAAATTTCTTTACTGAAGGGGTTGTCAGGTATTGGAACAGGCTGCCCAGGGTAGTGGTGGTGTCACCATCCCTGGAGGTATTCGATAAAAGCGTAGACAAGGGACTTCAGGACATGGTTTAGTGGGCATGGTGGTGTTGGGTTGATGGTTGGACTTGAAGATCTTAAAGGTCTTTTCCAGCCTGAACAATTCTATGATTCTGCTTGGCTGGATGCTCTGCAGTTCTGCATCTGAGCACTGCCATCGCTTTTGCTCCCCAGGTGCCCCTAGATGATAGCTCCGCTCTGCCCAGGATCCCCGAGGTGTTCCTGGAAACAGCCTCTGCCTTGGAGCAGGCCGGGAGGCACCAGGATGCCATAACCGTGTGCGAGGAGGTCATCAGCCGGACAACTGACCTGATCCCACGGATGTTACGAGTGGAGGAGAAGCTGGAGCAGCCGGAGTGCCCATCGTCAGGAGCAGGGTTGGTGGGTGGACTCCTG